TTTTTTTTTCTTCTTTTTTTTTGAAAAACATTCCCTGCTGGAAGGTTATCCTTCCAGCCGGCGATAGTTGACCTGTAAAAGGGCGGGTATCCGCGGATATCCGCACGGATACCCGCCAGCGCCAGCGGATACCTGCCCGCAGATGCGGATGCGGATGCGGATGCGTGATTCGGCTGAAATCTTGAGCGGATATCCGCATCCGCGCGGATATCCGGATCCAACACGACCATCTCTAACCCTAACCCACCAACTTGCAATCATGAGACTTGAGCAAGTGGTATAAAAGAGGTTTCAAAAAATGATTCTGAAAACAAAAGCATGAAAAACCAATTTTGAAAACTTTCAAAAAAATATTACAATTAGGGTTGACGTGGTTTTACTGCGGCACAGCGCACACAGATTCCGCGTTTAGACATAGTTTCATAATCAATTTTTTATGGCTTATTTTTCAAGTTTTTTTTTATTTATTTTTAAAGTTGTTTCCTACACCTTAAAAGATGTAGAATTTAATGGTAAAAGCCATTTTCCATAAAAAAGAATTTTAATTATTAATTATTATTTTTTCACTCATTTCTCAATTAATTGTTTGCAACATGTTTGTACCTTATTTTTTATGTTTTTTTGAAATTTTAAATTTATTTCCCAGGTTTTAATACATCTAGAATTTAATGGTAATATCCAATGTCCTTAAAACTCAATGGTTCATTTTTAATACTGAAATTAGACACATCTTTTCACTCAAATTTCTACAGGTTAATTTCCATTCTTTTTTGACATTTCAAATTTTTTTCTTACAATTTAAGACATGTAAAAAATTGTGGTAACAACCATCTTACATAAGAATCAAATATTGTTATTGAATACTGCATTTGACACGTTTTTTTAATTAATTCTTCACTTTTTCACTTAATTGTTTGCATACATGTGTGTACCTTATTTTTTATGCTTTATTGGAATTTTAAAGTTGTTTCCTACATTTAAAAGTGTGTAGAATTTAACGGTCACATCCAATTTTATTGAAACTCAACGGTTCATTTTTAATACTGAAATTAGATGGTTTTTTCAATTGATTCTTTACATGTCAATTCTCAGTATTTTTTGACATTTTAAATTTATTTCCCAACTTTTAAGACATGGTTAAAATTATGTTAACAATGAATTTGCATCAAAATGAAAACTATATCTTGAATGCTGCATTTGACACATTTCTTTAATCAATTCTTACACGCTTAATTATCCTTATTTTGTGGAATTTTAAGTTCATTTCCTACACTTTGAAAGGTTTTAAAATTGATGGATGTATCCATGTTACATTCAAATAAAATTTGTATACCATACAAATTATGCAAGAAACGGGGGACACTCATGTATTAAGATTGAATCATGAATTTTTAGGGAAATTGAACTTCACCATTCAATTCTACAAATTTTTGGGAAATAAATCTAAAATGTCAAAAAATATTGAGAAATAACATGTCAAGAATTAATTGAAAAAAGTGCCTAATTTCAGTATTATAAATGAACTGTTGAGTTTTAAGAAAATTGGATTTTACCATTGAATTTGACACATATTAAAACCTAGGAAATAATTTTAAAATTTCAAAAAAGCATAAAAAATAAGGTAAAAACATGTATGCATACAATTAGGGCATTAATAAACGTACCCGGGTTTTCCCCGTGTACACCCAGTTTTGGGGGTGGGTAGCATACCTGGTTTTCCACGAGGAAACCCAGGTTGACATATTTTATTTTATATTTTTTTTCTTGCATACTCAAGGACCGGCCACAAAGCCGGTCCACCATTCCACAATGGGAGTAGACTCTCCCATCATTGGCCGGTTGATATTGGCTGTCAATGGAAGTTGTGTACTCCCATTGACAACCAGAAACACTCCCATCAATGACCGGTTTTGACTGGTCATCAATGGAGGACACACTCCCATCAAGGACCGGTTTTGACCGGTCATCGATGGGAGCAAAACCGGTTATCAATGGAGGACACACTCCCATCAAGGACCGGTCAAAACCGGTCCTTGATAGGAGTCAAAACCCCCATTGATGACCCATTTTGACCGGTCATTGATGGAGGACACACTCCCATCAAGGACCGGTCAAAACCGGTCCTTGATGGGAGTCAACACTCCCATTGAGGACCGGTTTTGACCGGTCCTTGATGGGAGTGTGAATTCCACCAAATTACGGGTTAAGATGGGCCAGATGGGGAGGGCTGTTTCCTGATAAAGGACGGCTTTTGAAGTAAACACTCTCATTGATTGATTTCGGCCACCCGGGGGCTTTGGCGGTGTTGACTTCTCTTGACGATTTCCGGAGTTGAATCCCATCATGGACCGGTCAAAACCGGTCCTTGATGGGAGTGTTTCTGGCTGTTGATGGGAGTATACAACTTCCATTGACAGCCAATATTGACCGGCTAATGATGGGAGAGTCTACTACCATCGTGGAACAGTGGACCGGCTTTGTGGCCGGTCCTTGAGTATGCAAGAAAAAATATATAAAAAATAAAAAATACACCAGGGTTTCCTTGCGGAAAACCGGGTATGCCACCCACCCCCAAAACCGGGTGTACACGCGGAAAACCCGGGTACATTTATTAATGCCCAAAAAATAATTAATAATTAAAAGTCATTTTTATGGAAAATGGTTTTTATCATTAAATTCTAGACACTTTAGAACATAGGAAACAATCTTAAAAATTCAAAAAATCTTGAAAAGTAAGTGGTAAAAAATTAATTAAAAACTGTTTGTAAACGCGGAATCCGCGTGTGCTGTGCCGGGTATGCCACCCACCCCCAAAACCGGGTGTACATGCGGAAAACCCGGGTACATTTATTAATGCCCAAAAAATAATTAATAATTAAAAGTCATTTTTATGGAAAATGGTTTTTATCATTAAATTCTAGACACTTTAGAACATAGGAAACAATCTTCAAAATTCAAAAAATCTTGAAAAGTAAGTGGTAAAAAATTAATTAAAAACTGTTTGTAAACGCGGAATCCGCGTGTGCTGTGCCGCAGCAAAACCCTGTGTAAACGCAGTTTTTCCGCGTTTTTTTATTAATGCCCAATAAAAACTCATAATGTCAAAAATTAAAATTAAACTAAAAAAACTCTCATTGACTTTGGTCCAAAAACGGGGTTTACCATCAAATCCCACACACCTCAAACTGTAGGAACACAGCAGTAAAAAACTAATTCAAAAAACAGGTCCAAAAGTGGAAAACCACGTGTGCTGCACTGCTGCAAAACCAAATCTAAATGTGGAAAAACAAGATTAAAAAGTTTAACATTAACCAACAAACCAACCCTATCCACAGGTACCGCTACTAGCGATGGCGCAAGAGACATTAATTCTCTCACTGACCCTGGGTTTGCCGGTGTAAGACTCAAAAGTGGTTATTAAAACCCTTTTGCTGAATGGAGAAGGGTATGTTGGAGTTGCAAGCTCTGCCCTTCTATACTATCAGAATAACAAGACCACCAAGCTTAGCTTGGCAATTTTATATATAGTGATAGGGATAAGTTTGAAATGAAGCTGCCAATTGATATGTGTGAGGGTATAAAGATGTTATTGACAGTTGGTTATATTGATGAAGTTGTTGTTGTTGGATATGGTTCAGGGCCCTTTTGGTTTATGATGATGATGAAAGTGTTAAATCTGTATTTCAATGTGTATAAATCTGTAATTGTTATGTGGCTATGACTTGTAGTTATGAAATAATATATAAGATGGATTTATTTGTAAGGGTGGTTGAGATGATCTGGTCCACTGGTGGGATCATCGAGGGAAAAAATGGCAGGCAGAGGCCTCCTTATATAGAAAAATGTGAGGGATTTTGGCCCCAGGGTACAGGCTGTGAGATACTACTACAAAGGGATGCATATAAAGGAATAAAGGGACGCATATGTATGATCAAAGGGATGCATACATGCAATATCACTAACTCTCCACTTCTTTTTTTTGCTTAGTACAACATCACTAAAACTGCCCCTTTCACATTAAATTTGTACAAAGCGTAGTATTCAGTTGATGCCTTACTACTTGGACCAAATGAGCGGAAGAAGTTGAATGAGAGCGAGGGCAAGAAACAGTCATCAGAGGAGAGCCAAGTCTTGAACAGCCCATTTGTGAACATCAACGATATTTCGTATTCAGTAGATGAACTGATGGGCAGTTCTGAGAACACGCAACAAGGCCAGGACCCAACAGAGAGCTTTGTGGCTTCCCAGCCAGTCAGTCCTGGCGCCGGCCTCGCATCCTCTGTCAAAGTTCATACAGATATTGTCAGGGGTGAGCTCGAAACTCTGCCCAGCTCCGGCAATTGTATGTTCTTCTTTGTTGTCTATCTCGCCCCAGGCAATTATCATTGCTTCCATTCTCCCGCCGACTGGAAGGTTGAACGTTGTTGTCATTTTGCTGGTCAGTCTTAACAACAAGCCTATATATCCTCTTTCTTCTTCACTATTCCTGTTTCACGTCACAGGTTTATTCACTCCTTGGCTCCATTTATCTTTAAAAAATGGGATGACTATAGGAGAACTGTTTTCAGTCTCACCGTGGATGGGGGGAGAGCTAGCAGATCTGTTTGTACTGAACAAAAGAGTGGCCCTATTGGGACAATGGCGGCACGGGTTTTTCTCGATGACGCCTGTAGGCGCAAAAAATGTGGGCTCAATCCTGATCAACCTCAATCAAGAGTTGCGGACAAACTGGGTGGATAAACAATGTCATGAGTAGATGGTCTATGGGACCAATAACACAATCTTTGACAGTCAGATCCTTGCTAAGGGAACCAAGTTCGGCACGTTCTTGCTCGATGCAGCATCTAGAACCTTGTATTATCCCATTCTTTTGAGACCATTGTCTCTGTTTATCTCAATCAAATATTCAATTTTAGCTTCCCTCACCTTTCATCCGTCCCACCCCCTCTCTGCCTCCATAGCAAGAAACTTTCATCAAATTATCTGTTTCTTTGTTTTGTCCCTCAGTGGGCTCTTTTTTATATGGTTGTCCTCTTTTTTTTCAATTGTTTCCCCTCAATATTAGGGGGTATCAAATATAGGAAATCCACCATCAGAAACCAGTCACTTTTTCAAAAACTTTTTTTTGCATAAATGGGCCCCAAAAGGGTTTAAATTGATAATCAGAATGTTTAAAAAAGGGTAAATTTTTTCAAACCAGTCAATTAAATAATGGTGGATTTGGTTATATTTGATACCCCCTATTGTTTTATTATCAATTGGTGATATAGATTTTACATAGATATATTTATATATATATATATATATATATAGAGAGAGAGAGAGAAGATAATATATTAGGATTCCGGAAATTCCCCAAGAGACAAGGTACTACTCAAGCAACAGTGGGCTGCTACGCTACATTACACTATTTGACCACTAACTGTTAGTGTAGTGGCCTTTTTATTTCCTGGAAATTCTGTAGTGTTAGATGACGCTAAACCCCACTATGCTAACTGTTAGTGTAGTGTAAATTTTTCTCTCAAATTTTTTGGTAGTGTTAGCTTCAAATAATCTCAGCTAAGCTAACAGTTAGTGTAACTTTTTTTGCACTAACAAAATTTTGACCGTCAGATAGTGTAACTGATTTGAATCTAACATTTAGTGTAACTTATACCAAATTAAGCTATGCTACACTACACTACATGCCTAGTTACGCTACACTATGGTAGAAGTTACACTACACATGTAGTGTAGTGTAAATCATCAATTTGAGAAATTGACATGTCAAGTGAAAATTTATGCTCTTGAACCCTCTTCCTCTTCTTTCTGTTTTCAATGAAGAAGTTGTGTGAACTGTCCATATAACTGATACGGCCGAGGTCCATAGTGACAATTTTCAATGTCCTATGATCACACACAATTCTGCAGAAAATGAACAGCACAAGATGTAGAGACAAACAAATGGAGGATGTGCCTGGTGAGATTTGAACTCACAACCTCAGCAATGCTGAGTCACATACCAGACACTACGGGCAAACAGGTGATGCCCCCGCGCGCAACGTCACCTAACCCAAGGGGGGGCCCTTTCGTTAGGTGACGCTGCGGGCCGCAGCGTCACCTGTTTGCCTGTACTGAGAGTGCTTCCTTTACCAACTAGGCTACATACCCTTGTGGTTGTAAGGTTAGTTGGGTGGTAGTTGCCATGGTTCATGCCAACAGCTCCGCCACACTCTGGTGATACATCATGGTTACACCTCAACCCCCACCCCCCCTTGCTACATGATGTGAAAGTGGAAATTCACTTCCAAAGTGATTGTATCAGATTGCTACATCTGGCATTACATCAGATAAAAATACCTGATTTTATATCAGGCAAAACTGGTATTATATCTATCAGGAGTGATATTATATCTACCTAGAATTATGTTATATCTATCATAACAGATATTGCATCAGCCCAACCTATTTAATGTCAAAATAACTGATTTTATATCAGATTTTTACATCCAATACAAATTTTTAGCCCATGGGCATTAAATCAGATAGAAAAATCTGATATGAATTCAGTTATTCTGGCATTGAATAGGCTGGTCTGATGCAATATATTTCATGATAGACACAATATCATTTTAGGTAGATATAATATCAATTCTGGTAGATACAATCCCAGTTTTTCCTGATGTAATATCAGGTATTTTTATCTGATGTAATGCCAGTCAGATGTAGCAATCTGATACAATCACTTTGGCAGTGATTGAACAAGTGTGGGAATGGAACCCATTAAAGTATGATCTGAGGGGGAATTGAACCAATAATCTCAAGTTAGTCTGACAGGGGAATGTGGTCTTACAAGTCAGTGTTAAAAATTGGCAGGGGGCTAAAATTGAGTGGCCCCCATTACCAACTGAAAAAAATGATGATCAATTGAATTTGAGGGGATCTGGATGTAGGCCCCCCAATCAGGCACTGTCTTCAGGGTAGACTAATTCTAGTCATGTGGTCATGTAACTTTTAATCAGTTACGCTAACAGTTAGTGTAACTTTTTCACCAGTTACGCTAACAGTTAGTGTAACTGAGGGTACCACTACACTAACTGTTAGTGTAACTTTGCAAAAAGTTAAACTAACATGTAGTGTAGTGGGTTCACCCACTAACACCGCTAAAATTTCACTAACAGGATTTTGGGTAGTGTTAGTTGTGCCTTTTTAAAGGTAGCTAACACTACACTAAAGTTTTTTCTTTTTTTCAAAAATCCTGTAGTGTTAGTGGGCCAAAAATCCCCGCTAATGGTAACTTTTGTGTAGTGTAGCTTAAAAATCTAACACTACGCTGCACTAACACTACGGTTAGTGTAACTGGCCCACCGTTGACTCAAGCCAGGGACATGTTCACTGCTTGTAGGCTCAGAAGTCTGTGCTTCTACATGGCAACCACATTAAAAATGGGTTGTTTTTAGTTTTAATATTGACTTAGACAAAAGGTATGAAAAACAAAATGGAAATCTCAAAAGGATTCTTGAAGTCAGACACTTTATAGTCACGGATTGTCAGTAGTCAAATTGAAAATATGTACTCAAAGGTCAAGATTTGATGAAATGAAAATGGGACTATTGAGTTTACCTTCACCAACAGTTCTGTTCCTCAGGCTCATTGCCTAAATCCTTCAATGTTACCCATGATCTATCCATTCAGCCGGGCCATGGTTGACTTAATACGGCACCGTTAGTTTTGATTTCAGTTGACAGGCCTGATGATGAAGTGGAAGGTGCAATAGCAATAGAGGCATTGAATAAATCAGACGTCACAGTCTTCCCAAACTATGAAATGGTGCTTAAGGTTGGCGCTCCTATAATCTTACTTCAAAATTTATGAATTGAACGAGGGCTATGCGATGAGACCGGGTTAGAGCATTCACATTTGTCGGGTTAAATTGCTGATTTTGGCAACTTAACCCAACCGGCAGTTGCATTGGCCCCGGGCAAAAGTGTTTTATGTAATAAATAAGATGAAATGTATTTGTCACTTTTAGGCAGAAACGGGCGGCAAAGCCGCCCTTAGACACTAATTTTTTTATTAAAGCCCATTTACAAAACACTGTTGTTTTTGTAATTTTTGACCTTGATGGGATTCCCGCTTCTTCAGCTCACCCAGTTTTGCTCATTGTTTGGCTACAAGCTGAGGAGGAGGGCATATTCATGATTGGCCTGAAGCCGAATATTAATTCTGCCAAAACTCATCCTTTTGGTGTTGTGATCTTTCCAGTTATATGTTGAGATGAACTCAGGTGACTGGAGACAGAAGTGTTGGAAAGGATGATGATTCATTTCAACATCAAGAAAGAAAGAGAAAAAAGAGAAGAAAGAAAAGGACATACCTGGAGACAGAAGTGTTGGAAAGGATGAGGAAAAGAAAGCCTCCCAAACACAACTGAATCCAGTATAAGAACTAAAATGAGAAACACGTGAATGTCACAGAAAGTGACATGAGAGAAATGAAATCAAAAAGAAGCATACAACATGAGATGTCACTGATATCTCAACATTATACCCTTTCTCCACAAACCCAAGAGCAATTATTCCTTGGATGCCTATTAATCCTTATAGGGTTGATCTTGATTAAGGCATGGTCCCGGGGTTCGGGACGGGGTCTGAGGCCAGTCCCGACAAACGAACCGCGGGGTCTTGATTTTCTTTTTCAGGTGCGGTGTTGGTCCTCTTTGACCGGTCAACCAGCCAAGGAAAAACTCTTCTTGGCTGATTGACACAATCTGTACCCTCCCCAGCTGGTTACAGACTCACTTACCGGTCAGAGAGGATCCTCCAGAATCCATCTTGGTCAGTAGGTGAGTCTGCACCAACAAGCCGAGAACTTAATACAAAGGGAAAAAATGGGCTGGAGGGCCCGGTCGGCCATAGAATTGGGAAGTAATTGACTCCCAACTCAAACGACCCTCTACAGACGGTCCTTGGGACTTGTCAGCTAGAAGAAGCAAGCCGGTTTTTAAGCCGCTTGAATGGTTTCCCTATGATATATCAAAACCCCGGGGTTCTGGGGTTTTGCATAGTGCCATCCCGAGTCCTGAACCCCGGGGTTTGGATTCGGGCAAAACCCTGAACCCCGCGGTTTGGGGTCATGCCTTAATCTTGATGTCCTCCTCATAGGAAGAGTCAGGTTTCAAGAAATCTTACTGACTACTCCCTGTGCTTTTTGTTACAGGTTAATGATTGAATTACCGCAAATTATCACTTCAACCATCCACCAAACTTTATCATAAATCACAGCACAGCCTCCAGTTTAGTAGCATGGAGGCTGGCACATACCATCTGGAGCCACCAGATGAATTTCCAACCATTTAACTTATCAGAAACTTAAGTTTGAACAAGCAAAATGAACAATCAAATAAAAAAAATATCAATGATGAATGGAAACACACCTTAACAATGAGAACCCACTCTACCTAAACAGGTTTGTTGCACAAATGCCGCCAGGATTGTCTGTAGAAAGACTCTGAAATGGAATTTGTTATGCCTCATCTTTTGGTCCACAGCTCAAAGGATATTGCTCAGCAGTGTTTTTTTTTGATTTTGTGGATTCATTCTGATAGGTATTCACTTTAGGTGAA